TGGTTGCGAGCTCATTGGCCACGAACGCCAGTTTAGCGGCGCATCGGCGAGTCGATAAATCGGCGTCCACGAAACGCGCCGCTGGCCGTCTGGTGTTTGGCCTTTTTGGTAGCTGAGGCGGTGCGCACGAGCCCTGAGCGGCCCTCGCGTGCTCGCGGCGGTCAATGCCCTACAGGCTACAGCACCAGTCCAGAGCCCCAGGTGGTTGGTGGTTAGCTGCTGCAACGCGTGCGTGCGTGCGCCGCCGGCCGTCTGGTGTTTGGCCTTTTTGGTAGCTGAGGCGGTGCGCATGAGCCCTGAGCGGCCTGCTCGCGGCGGTCAATGCCCTACAGCACCAGTCCAAAGCCCCGGGTGGTTGGCGGTTAGCTGCTGCAACGCGTGCGTGCGTGCGTGCGCCGCCGCTCGACACGACGGCTGTGTACTGTACACTCTGTACTACGTGGTATGAGTGTGAACCACAGCTCGCAAATGCCTAGTATAGTACGTACTCGCCTGCCACGGTGCCACCTGCATGGGAACGTGGATTCCCCAGGCAGCCAAGTCCATTTTATTTTATTGTTTGTATTTGTATTGAACACGTTCGTGGCGTGCCGGGCGCGATTTGGGCATGGAAAGCCAATGCGCCCGACTGAAGAATCGTGCACGCTACACTACTTTGGACGCGCAGTTTGGTGCTGGGACGCCGAATAGACAGATGCTTCCTCCCTGATTGCTACACAAAGTGGCTTTACATGAACTGACAAAAAAAAGTCACTTTAGCCCTGAGATAGGCATAGATTCTCTGAAGCTGGCGGGCAGGAGCTGGTGCGTTCAGCGGCTGGGCTGGCCAGCGCTCTCAGAGTGTCGTGGAACAGTATTTTTTTCTCACAACAATTAGTCGGAACAGTATTTTGATTTATTTTTCAGTTCTGCCGAATAGGCCATGGTCCAGCTCCACGGGGGTCAGCGTGGAATCTCTCCACTGTTCGTTCTGACCCTCCACTCTAACGGATCATCGTCGACGCAGCAAGTCCAAGTGACCCAAGTGGTTAACGGGCCATGAAGTCTTGCTTTGCTTTGGTGTTGGGTTCCCCGCTAAAATTTAGTCCCTATCACATTAAATATTTGAACACTAATTTAAAGTATTAAACGTAGATTAATTACAAAATTAATTATATAGATTAAAACTAATTTACGAGACGAATCTATTAAGCCTTATTAGACTCATGTTTAATCTTTCTAATTAGTAGAAGTATCTAAATACTCGATGTGACATCAACCGAACTTTAGTCCTGGAATTCAAACAAGGGAGACGTGGAAGAACTGAACTGCAAACAGACGATGATGAGACGCATACTATAATCGAGAGCCTACGCCCTGATGTACGTGTGTGTATATATACACACGTACACACACTGAATGAACTGAATGATTGCAGTCGCTTTCACCATCAGTGCTGGGGGCATCCGTCGTTAATGGATGGACGGCGCCCCGCACACGACGACCACGATGGATGAGAATCAGCCTAGCACTGTCGCCGTCGCAGACGTACCACGAGGTCCGAGCTGCCCCGCTCACAGAATCTGGCCCCACCGCGCATGCGACGATCGACGATCGAGATCGATCCTCTGGCGCAGCAATTAAGCAGCATGCGGGAAACGGCGTCCTCTTCCTGCTGGTGGCGAGCGGCTGCCTTCGCGGTCCGTACGTCGTTCGTCAGCGCTCATCACGCGACCGACCCCGTGGTGCCGTGGTGCCGTGGTGGTGGTGGTGTTGGTGGTGGTCGTCGTCGTCGTCGCGTCGATACACCTCGCTCGCGAGGCGCGAAAGGGACGCGGCCACGCGCGAGTTGCACGCGGCCGATCCATCCACGCACCGAGTCCCAAACAAGAACAAGGGGCGGTCGAGTTCTTAACAGGAAGGCGTGTACAAGCGGAAGCTCACAACAAGTATTCATGGCTTATTGGTTAGGTGTCATTTCGCCAGGTCCAACAAAATGAGAAAAGCTTTCACTGGGGCCACGGGGGTGGCTGCTCTCTTTTGGACTATTACATATGGCTACGTCCAAAGGATAGAAAGTGTCTACATAGTAATCGAGTGTCTTTGGAGCTTCTGACACTCGGTTGTTAGTTGGCCAGGCACAAACACCCGATAAGACAGAGTACTGCGAACAGAGTGTTACATCAACAATAAACACACGATTTTCATATCCTCTGATCATAATCGATGGTCAGATATACACCAGGAGATATGTACCAAATATGACACATGCGCGATTTTCAGGCATACTCAACCAAGAAAAAAAAACACCGATAATGCACAACACAATGTAGAGCTAAGAAGAATATTGTTCACCACACTGTCATCCTGTAGAAGCAAATAAATACCATTAAGAATTGCACTACGGTCATGATTCAGGTGGTCAAGTTACACATGTGGACATGGTACTCTGAAAAACTTGTCAAAGAAAATAAGTTAATCAGTTGTTCATATGAAAGAATGTAAGCCAAATACTTATGCCAAATGAAACATATTTCCAAAGAATTGCAGGAATCAGAGACATATGCCACATTGTTCAGAAAATAAACATATTTTACAAATAAATTTTATGGAGTGCAGATCCTAGAGACATATATGCCACATTATTCAAAACAAGGGAACATATTTTACAAATAAATTTTCTGGACTGTAGGTCCCAAAGACATATGCCACATTGTTCAGAAAAGATACATAATTTAATGCATGGTCCGATGTCCCTGGACGCTGAGCTAGGGTTTGCTTCCCCGTCGGATGGTCCGATGCAAGTAGGGTTCGATGCCCACTTCTTGGTCCGACGCCCTGATGCTTTCTGTTGAGTTTGATTCTTTGAAATCTCCGTGTTTGACTTGGTTCCATCTTCGTGTCTTGGACTTTTCCTGGTCTTTTAGGTCTTCAACATTGCTTCTGATGTCTTGCTTGAGGTGTTGATCATTCGAATCACCACTTGCCTAAGTCCAAGCCACTTTTGCACCCTTTGAACTTATATCCAAAAACACTAGCAAACGATGTTAGTCCAAATAGTCATGTTGATCATCAAACACCAAAATCCAAACTAAATAGGTCAAGGATACATGATGGCCCACTTTCTTGTAGATACTTTGCCGCTGCTTTCGTCCCTTGTGGATACTTTACCGCTCCGTGTGTGTCTTTGGCGGGTGCTTTGCCGCCCTGCTTCCTGGTGTCTGTCTCGTCTACTCTCGGTGGATGCTTTGCCACCACGGCTTCAAAAAAATGTACCTTGCGCTGATGTAATTTTTCTACTACAAGCCCAGTCGGTTAGGTTTGAGGCAGAGGGTCCTTTTCTCCTTACCGCCTTTTCTTTTTCTTGTTGTATTGGGTCCGTTTGTTGGTTTGCTTGGCCACCTTCTTGGTGGTGCTTTGTAACTTTGGGCTACGAGGGTTCTCTCGTAGTTCGGTAGTTGTGTCGTTGTAATTCTCTTTCTCTTAATGAAAAACGTGCTAAGGCACAATCACAAAAAAAAGGAAAAAAAGCACAAATACTTTCACAGTTCTGTTGCTTCAAGACTGAAGGGACACCTCAAGATCTGAAAAGGGCATCAAGCATTAATTCAAGAATGCATGCAAATGCAGTTCAATGCTTGCACATGAAGACATCAATGATCCAGCCTTTCCTATTTTTCAGCATGTTGTATATCAATGTAAGGCTTAGAAGAGGCCAATTCCAGGAACAAAAGACAGAGTAGATCAAAATTTTGCCAAGCCACGGGCAACACATATCTCAAGGAATGAAACATCCATGTATCACTAAACATTAAGTGAGAAATGTTTTGAATATGAAGAATCAGACTGGATGTACCAAGCACTGGCAAAATTGAAGCTAGGATAGCAAGACTTTATTTGACGGTCGTTGTGCCCAGCATGCGACAGCTCACTCAAGTTTGCCTTGGGCTGGCTTGGTTCAGCCGTTCAGGCATATACTGTTTGTTCTCGCTCCATGTTCAGCCGTTCAGGCATATACTGTTTGTTGAACTTGTTTTCAGACTTTCAGTTTGCCTTGGGCTGGCTTGGTTGTCGGGCTGACCTTGCCTATCAGGGCTGGGAGAACTGGTTCATTGAGATGCGAACAAATTAAGGATCGAACAATGAAGCCCATTAGTCCAGTCGGACAAGCCCAAAATCTTCCGCTCTTGTTGTGTGTTTCCTGTCCTGTCCGTTTGGCTTCGTTTCTCTCCATCTCTTCAAGTGCTGCACAGGGCCGTTATGTGCTGTATTGTACATAGTATAGACGCTTCCGTAAAAAAAAAAGGTGATAACAGCGACGGATTATTTACCTGATAGACATCGCAAGTCACTGCATACAGTAGAGTACATTACAATACATAGCTTTGAAACACATTCAGTGAGTGGAGCAGGGCGTTTTGACTTTTGACTGCTTCCATCGTTTATTCTGTCTGTTCTGAAAAAAAAAATCCAAGGTGTCACTGTTATTATACTATAATTAATATCATCGGTCGAGTTGACCAAAAAATCAAGTGATTAATAACCCGGTGGCATCCGTGTTGTGCACTTGTATAATCATCGCATGCAGGTAGCTCGAGCTCGACTATAATCATTAACAGATATGAACCGTATATGTTGAGTACTATGTCGTATTTCTGGTGGCTCTTTGAATTGTAAATCTCTTTCTATCACTTGACTACCTTGCACAAGCAGTATTAAAACTAGATACCTGTAAACAATAAGAAACAAGATATATCTTGCTACTAGTTGCACATTATATTCCAGTACAAAAGGAAATTTTGATTTCAACAACTAGCAATCTCCTACAAAGCCCGGCTGAAACATTATTCTAAAACACAATATTAGAACGCTAGAACATATAAAGGGCACTGGTCGTTCACTTAACAGTGGAATTAATTAGAGCAAATACTTATTCTCATCATCATAGTCCATCAGTCCATGGGTTTATTAGAGCAAGCCTATTCAAAGTTCCCACTTGCAGGCCAGGCAATTCACACTTCTCACTCATCGTCTTCATCATCAGCAGCAGGTGGCGGCACCGGCGCCAACGAGGTGCCCACCGCCGCCTGTGCTCCTCCAGGCCACAAAGCATACACGTCAGTATGAGGCGCTAGCTCCGTGACATCACGTACGGATGGCAGTGCCAACTGCAGCGTGAGATCCGGCGACGGTGGTGGCGGTGGTGCTGCCATCTCTTCCTCCACGGTTGGTGCCGGAGGTGCTGGCGGTGCTACAACCTGCTGGTTAACGTTCTCACGATATAGGCGTAGAAACTCGGACATGGGCTGCACGTAGTCAGCTAATCCAAGTCTCGCAAAGCCAGCGATTAGGTCATCCGCGGTGATAGTCAGGCGCCGGTCTCGATGGCACTGTGAGGGCCACGCAGAATTGCAATATGCACTCGTCCATGGTCCATAACGCGTATCTTGTGGGAGGACTTGGCGCATGATATGCGTTATGGTGCCTTTCGGGATGGTGTACTCTTCTGGTGGTTTCGATCATGCAGATATTAAAAAAATATTAGATACGCCTAATATCATATTGACCAAGTGTATGAAGAGCTCCACTAAAATTGTACCAAAAATTATTTATTGAAACATATGTAATATCAACAATCTAGCTATGTGTTTTCTGAGCGATTGTTAAGAAAATGACTAACGGCCTAATAAGTTCCAACTCGCTATTTTGTCGGCACCGCTTGCGGGCTTTTTAAATCCTTTTTCAACGGAAAAGACATATCGGTCCAACTGGTTCCTTTGTCAGTAGCGCTTTATGTAGCCCAATCTAGCTATCGACAACGAACTATTTACAGAATCTCAAACTACTAGGGACAATATCCCTTGTCCTCCTAAGAAACATCATCAGTGTAGTAAAACTCACCTTTGGGATCGTCATGGTGTTGATCATTTCCTTGAGCTTTGCTCATGGCTCTTGTAATCTTATGTTTGTTATTCTCAATGAACAAAGTCCATGTATTTATAATCATCTAATGATGAAAGAAAATTTACATGTGTCATATGTGATTTTTGCATGTGTGACACTTGTCATTTATGAAAAAAATTACATGTGTCATATATGATTTTTGCATGTGTGCCACTTGTCATCACCATATATGATATCCATTTAATGAAGAAAAAAATACATATAGGCCATATAAAATTTTGCATGGGTGCCATTTGTCACTAACCGTGTAGGTAGATGAAAGAAGACGAGAAGTGGTTGAAGTAAATTTTAAAAGTATTAAATGCGATGGATCCTAAAAGAAATAGAAGGAAATTAATATTAGACAGAATATTTTGGTCAAACTACAACCTTCACAACATCATATCATGCAACTTATGATGCTACGTGTATTATTTATCCCCTTTAAATACATTTTTTAAGAATAATTTTATATCCAATAAAATTCCTCAAACCTAGCTTCTTAGAGCAGCTCCGTGTGCCTAGAATCGAACCGTGAGGAGAGAGAAGATGGAGTATGGTTTGATTTTAACACTAGAGGTAGCGAACCGACCAAATCGATTCCTGGAATCGACTCCTCGTTTCGGTTCGAACCGAACGAATAAAAAACCTTTGCGCAAGCCGGGCTGCCCCTCACGTGGCGGCGTGGCCTGTGCCAGTCTTTGTGCAAGCGACAACGGAAGCGAGTCCATCGTCCACTGAGCTGCCGTCATTGAAGGAGCTCTAGAGCACGCGCCAAAGCCTACAGGATCGGTGTTGTGGGCCAACACCTGCTGCTTCTCCTAGAGAGCATGGTAGCACGCACAGGTGGCCACCAACGATGCTTTAACCTCTCTAGAGGCGGCCGCTAGAGTAGGCGGGCACCCGAGCACTGGCACTCCCACAGGCTGGCTCGGAGAGGCATTCACCCACGCGACATGCCCCACGCTCGCCCAGAGTGCCAACGCCAGCGGATCTTGCTCGGGAGGCACTGTGCGACAGCAAGAGTAGCAATTGTGGTGTCGGAGTCAGTAGGCACCATCGTGTTGATGTCCCTCAATCACCGTCTTACTCTGGCTCTACCGGCGTTGGCGTTGACGACTACCACCGGCGCCCCCCACGGCACCCTGCGTGGCCCCATCCGAATTCGATGGGCCGTTGTGGGGCACAGGCTGAGAGGCCGGTGGGTGGTCGTCACGAGTAGAGTGCCGCGGCCGGTCGCCACCCTTCGCAGAAATTGCCTATGCTTTTCTGTTTTGATCAGCTATATTTTCGTCCCAGAAGCATAACTATTTTGTTGTAGTAGAAAAAGCAAATTTATTCTGCTAAGAGAAAATAACGTTCTTATTAAGGAAAAAATGTTAAGGTGCGCAACAAGACGCGTTCATATCTTCCATGCCTCTGGAACCCTATGACGTTGTGTGCTGCATTGTATAGAGTATATACGCTGTCAAAGAAAAAAGGTGATAACAGCCACGGATTAATTACCTGATAGACACCGCACTCGCACAAGTTCGGTGAGTGGAGCAGGGCGTTTTGACTGCTTCGTTTCGTCGTTTGTTCTAATCTGTTCTGAAAAATATCCAAGGTGCTGTTATTGTACTATGATATTGATCGGTCGAGTTGACCAAGTGAAAACGACCCGGTGGCATCCGTGTTGTCACTGTTATTATAGCTCGATCGAGGCCTGCTCGACTGCTCCAAACTGCCACGCGCCCCCACTTCGACCGACGACGACCAACCAGCAACCATGCCCGAAGAAGAGGTTTCCTCACCGAACGAGGAGGCCGCCGGCGGGGAAGCCGTGGACGGCACGCCCCCGGTCGACGGCTCCGCGGCTGCTACGGAGAAGGAAGAGGGCAGGGAGAAGTGGTTCAGCGAGATGCGAGGCTGGATTATGGTGCTCGCCGTGCAGGTCGCCTCCTCCACTTACCAGGCTGGACTCACCCCGCCCAGTCGCTTCTCCGAGCCCCAGGACATCAATGGCAGCGACGAGATTCATGAGTCCACCGACTCCTTTCGGTAACTAGTCTCCTCCATCACAAATAAAGTATACTCTAAGAGCAACTCCACTAGGAGCTATTAAATCATACCATATTTAAAAAAAAATATGACAAGAGCTTTGCCGTTAGATTATATTAGACGAAAAAAAAGAGAGGTAAAGAAACCAGGTCCTGCCAAATCCAGCTACCCAACTAAGAGCATCTCTAAGAGTTTCCAAAATCCACTACTGATCTTGATTTTTTTAGCAAGATTAAGAAAATGCTCTCCAACAACTCCTTATCTCAACTCCCAATCTTTCCACACTTGAGAAAATCAATCCAACCACGTAGAAATATACACGCGTGTATTGGTAAACCAATCTGGAGGTGGAAGGACGTGAAGAGGAATAAAGATAAGAACATAGTTCCCAATGAAAATTTACAAAAGAGAAAGAAAGTATAAAAGTGGTTGTGTGATTTCAAAATAATCCGAGATTCTTGATGCAAAGTTGACTCTTTAGGAGTGAAATTTTGAAAATTGTTGGAGGAACCCAACTTTTTTAGCCACTTTGAAAACTCACTGATTTATTAAATGATTTTTAGATACTATTGAACATGCTATAAGGAGGCAAAAAGAAACTAGACCCTAACTACTTGGTAGACGAGACTCGGCCTAAGAACTAGGACAACCAACATAACAATCAAAGGCCTACACTTTTGATCTAAGGGATTCCCTACTCTTAAAAGGTCTTTTATTAACCTACTCTAGCAACAGCCCTTAAATTAGGGCCCTCAAATCCACTCTAATAGAACTAGCATACGAGACCAACTCGTTATCCGACCATGTTTCAATCGATAGAGTTATGGGTGGCACGTGAGAGGAGGGGCTAGGGAGCAGGGAGGAGCACCGAAGATGGCACAAGAAGGACGAGGCCCTCAAATTCATTCCATTTTAGTAGACACTAGCATATGTTACCCACTTGTCATTCGGCCATATCCACTGTGTTCCAATCGATTGTGTTATGGGGACACGTGAGAGGAGGGAGGTGGGGAAGGAGCACCGGAGAGGGCACGGGAGGGTGAAGAGCACCAGATGACACGAGGAGGGAAGCCACGATAGGGTCGAGTGCCTCCAGCGAGCTGAGGACGGGATGGCGCCCATCCCCGGGAGAGGAGAATAGGGCAGCGACGCGAGAGAGTCGGGACAAAAAAGTAACCACATGAGTGAGTTGGTGTAGAAAAAAAGTACCGAATAAAAAGTATGGAGCTCCATACGCAGTATTGAGACTTGAGTTAGGGCCTTTTGGATTAAGCTTTTTTTTTATCTAACACCAAAAAAATGGAGTAGATGTCTTATTTAGCGTCCCTGAGTTCGTTAGGCTGTCGATCGATACTCTCCAATTATCATACAGCGAATATTTAATTTCATCTCTTAGTACTGCAGGTACAAGGTGTTCTTCTACTCCAACACGACGGCGTTCTTGACGTCGCTGGCGATCATCATCCTGCTGATGAACAGGTCCTTCTACAGCTCTTTGGCCAAGGTGACGGTGCTGGAGATCATCGTGGTGCTCGACATGATCGGGCTAATGGCCGCCTACTTGGCGGGGAGCACGCGCAAGAACCAGACCAACTTGTTCGCCCTGTGTCTCACCGCGCTTGTGCTCTCCGTCATCTACGTCGTCTACGCGGTGCAGCTCGTACAGAAGCTATGCGCGGTGCCGCTCGTACGCAAGCTATGGGGCCTCTTTGCCACCGTGGCCGTCCGGCGCCGCCCGTCCGTGCCCGCGCGCGCCGCGACCCGGGATGACGACGACGGCACCCCGCCCGTGCCGAACCAGCAGGACGTCGACGGCACACGGGCGCCCCCGCCGCTGGACGTCGGCCGGTCCAAGTCGGAGCTGCGCCGCCGAGATAGCCGACTGGTGGCACGGACACCAGGAACAGGGCAGTCAACTATGCTGTCTCCTTAGTTCGCTTCTGGCTGGTGGCATCTCACTCTCTTGCTTTCGTTTCATGTTTCAATCTGAAAAAGACTTGTACGAAATAAGTCGAGAACCTGTTGTATTTGGGGCGTGTAATTTACTTATATGGGAAACATAATTATGACCATACATAGTGGTTCTGACTTGGAACAAACAGAAAATAACCCGGTACATATGTCACAAGCCAGAGAATAGAGATCATGAAAACAGAACAATGTGAAGACCTGGAACATTGAAGCATATGCAAACCTAGCAAAGTAGTAGCAAGTGAGACCAGAGCACTGTGGAGACCAGAAGCAAGTGTGAGCTAGCTCCACACATTGTTCAACCTAGCTTGTTCTTCAGGCTTCACTTTGATGAACATGTTTGCGTTGACTACCACCTGCAGGAGTTTCCGGGTTGGTGTAACTGGAGATGGTACTACTAGGGAAATATATGGCAGCTTCACGAGGCTGCTGACAGTACCAAACTCAGCTGCTACCAGCAGCTTGCTATTCCTCATGTCAACAGCAAGAGCCCATGCCTTGGGATGCAGGAACTTGACCCTGGCCAGTGGCCATCTAACAACATCTTGGTCAGCTGCACCAATGCCAGGTACTGGATGGGACAAGAGGTTCGACAGGGCTCGCGGCCGCGCTCCTTTGGCTGCTGCTGCAGCTGCACAACTGCCTTTTTTTTGGATAATTTGCTGCACAACTGCCTTGTGGTTCTCACAGCAATCCAGAGTGCAGCAACCGTGAAGCGAGCTGGCAGTCGACTTCGATATCAGAGGACTCGACCCTGTGGTCCTGGCGCCAGTCCTTCCAAGACACGCTCATCTTGGTGTTGCTCCACGTCGTGAGAGCCCAGCCATGGAGTACGAAGCTGGGCAGCCCTATTTCCTCGTCCATACCAGTGGGCTCAATCGTGCCGAGTTCCAAGTGAGCTAATAGCTTGAGGCATGGAGTTCCACATCCCCGTTGTTACACGTCACCAACTCCAGTGGCAG